CCTCGCCAATGGAGACATTTTACAAGGCAGCGTCGTCGTTGTGAGAAATGCTACGCTTTCTACGTACAACAAACTCCGGTATGTTTCAGTTGGTCCTGCATCGGAGATTCTACACGAACCTGCGATCGATCGCGCCGACCTACTCCGTAATTGGAACGGTGGTTTGGCGCCATCCCATACGTTCTCACCTCTTTCCGGGCTTTAAACGTAGCGTTTCGTACACGACAATTTTGCAAAAATGCTACGCTTTCTACGTACAACAAACTCCGGTATGTTTCAGTTGGTCCTGCATCGGAGATTCTACACGAACCTGCGATCGATCGCGCCGACCTACTCCGTAATTGGTACGGTGGTTTGGCGCCATTCCATACGTTCTCACCTCTTTCCGGGCTTTAAACGTAGCGTTTCGTACACGACAATTTTGCATTTTTTAAAAAAAAGTAAGAAAACAGTACATTTTCGCTTTTTTTTTAAACTATCCCAGCCTTCGCTTCTCCCTAGTTGCATAGGACACATAAGCAAACGACGAGATTTGATTCGCTAGAAACTATGTAGACTATAAAAGGCGACATGTACACTATAAACGACATCAAACTTACGCACTTACCGAGCACTTAACGCGTAAATTACTGCCACTTCGTCATTTATTTGAAAGCCCATTCTCTGTTGCACACAGAAAAAATACGTTACCCATCACGCGTGTGTGAGAGACCTTATTTCCGTCTATCCATTTTCTGTTGGACTAGCACGATCCCTGTTATGAGGCCCTGTCATAACAGTCCCGTGATAATCCAGAGAGCGTTGCAAAATTATCCCCCTTCTGTGACATCACCTACTTTTCCCGCTTAGGTACGGGTGCAACAAAAAATTCTCCCTTCCAGAATCCATCGGCTCGTGTAGAGATGGTGGAGCGATTGTTGGTGTTGCGGGAAGCGCATTCGAGGTGGACATAGATCAGACTGCGTCGGTTTCCGCGCTAAAGAAGGCGATCAAAGAGGAGAACGCATCGACGATCACATGCGACGCCAAAAACCTGCAGCTCTTCCTGGCGAAGAAGGATGAGGGTCGCGGTCCGTGGCTGACTGAAGAAGAAGTGAAAAAGGATGTGATTGATACAACTGGTCTGAAGCTGCTGGAAGCGGCGCGAGCGAGGCTTCAGCGTGTGGGGTTGTCGGATGTGGATGTCGGTGGAGTGGATGAAGACGAGGAAGTAGAAGGGAGGGGCCCTGTGAACGTGCTGGTGGTGGTTCCAGAAATTACAACTACCGTTTAGGTGAGGGAGAGAAAAGATGAAGTGCTCATGGCCGAGCTGGCGTACTACCAACGCTTTGGTCAAGAGATCCAAATCAAGTGCCACAGTTGCTGTGGTGCAATTCTCGACAAAATTGATACCATTTACGAGGAAGGGTCTCATCCGAAGCCTTTCATCTGCGTGGAAGGGTCGTCTGGAATGGGGAAGTCGCAACTGGCGTTTTCATTGGGAGGTGAAGGACGCAAACATCCACGGCCGTGGTTTTATTGGCCTCTTCTCTCTGCGGGGGAAGAAATGCAACGCGTGTATTGGAACTTTTCATCCATCGCGACTGCCTTCGAATCTGTTGTGAAAAAGGACGGGCTGGAGAAGCTACCAAAAGCAGAGATTATGAACTGCGCTTCATCGTTTTACACCACGCAGGAACTGTGGACGTATGGGTTCATTATCGAACTGTTGAGGTATTATTTTCGTGCAGATGTTGGCGCACAGATGATCCGCGTTGAAAACGAAACGTTTGAAGTGGCCAAGTGTGGTCTGAAAGATGTCATTGATGCGCGCACTAAAATGATCAATCGAAAAGTGTTGCCGTTCTTCATTTTGGATGAAATGACGCCAAGCGGGGAAATTCCGAACATGATGAAATTAGCGGCGTTTCAACGCAATGTCTTTCGTGCTTGCGGTCTGGTCGTGATTGTAATGGGCACGGACGCCAAGATTTCGAATCTGGTTAGTCAGTCACAGCACAGTCGCACAGGCTCTCATTGGTGGATGACCGTTGTCTCTAGTTTTCCAACTTACCAGTCTATTCCCTTCAACGATCCTGCGAAGGAAGAATCGTGGCAGAAGGTGATAAATTTGCACCCCGTCGTGAAGGACATTGCTGATAATTCTCGTGGTCTGTTCTCGCGGTATTTTGTGGACGCTGTGGTACAATTTGCTCTGGAGGAAGTTGCGGAAAATGAAATATTTGCTTTGGCGGACATGCTAGACGCAGCGTTCAAGGCGGTATATGTCAAGGCTCAGGATGCCAAAGGTTTCATGAACACTGAGTCAGGGAGACATGCGCAGCTGATGGCGCTATCGTACACCAATGCCAGCGTTGAACTTCCTGATTACACGATTTCTGCTACCAGTTGTGATGATGACAGGAGTGAACCTCCTCTGAAAAAGAGTAAAGTGGGGGTTCAGAGCATGCATGTGCATTTTGCGAACTTGGTTGATGAAGAAATTACTGATGTGGTTGTTTCAGGGGGCAGATTAAAAAAAGGGGATGGAACCCCCTGGATACCAATCTGTCGTTTTCCAGTCATTGAGGAAGACGTGTTGCTGTACCTCGCCGTGCTCGGTGGAAAGGAGTTGTCGGCGTACTACGACTACAACACCGGGACGAAGTATTCAACAGCTAGTGTTTTTGATGAGTTTCGCAGACGAATTGGCAATGAACCACACGGAAATACAAATGCTCTCAGAAACAATTACTGCGAATTCGAGAACTTGGTGGCTCATGCGCTTTTTTGTGCGTCGCGAAAAAATGGTGTGCGAGGAATCGCCTTTAACGAGTTCTTCTTTGCTTTGGTTGATGAATTTCAGGACGAATCCTATCCAACAAAATTTAAGGCCAGTGCCTTGTTGGAAAGCTATGCTGGTTTGAAGAAGAAGTTTGCAGAAACCATGATCCCGTTTGTGGCACCACCTAATGCGAGATGGCCGGATTATATTCTTGGCGCCTGCGGTGCTGGTGATGGTGACTGCAACTTCGGCCATCTTGCTCGCGCTAAGGACAGCGAGAGATTGGATTGTTACGTGATGGTTCCTGGGAGTGACAATCCACTGTTCGTTTGCGAATGCAAACATTGGAAGAAAAAACTAGACAGCGGTGCGATGGAGAAGATCATTGAGGGTTTAAATGCTGAGTATACAGGGCGTGCAGGGCGAGATGGTCAGCGAAAGCCAAAGTGGCATAACTGGGATCTTGCGCTCGTCTTTTGCTATGAACTTACCCAGTTCAAGCAGAAAAAAGTTGGTGCTTGGAAGTTTCATGGTACTGGTATCGTCACGGTCGATTGCAAGACGTGGGTGAAGAAATGGATTATCGAGCCAGGAGCTGGGGAGAAATTGGTCATTGTGCTTCAGACAGGGAGTTTGTTTTAAGATGAAGTTTCTGGTAGGACGGCACCGTCGTTCCGACGATGAAACTTCTTGCCTCAGGATACTCCAAGGACGTCGATGGAGCGATACACATTGCAATTAAGCGGCTCTTAGGAGGCAGAAACTTAATACAACGTCGTAGTTTATAAATGTGATTAGCTTCAAGAATGTCGGGGACTACTACCTCCGCTCGGAAAATTAATCACCTTTCCAAAAAAAAATCACAGCGCTCCGCCTCGTTCTTTTTCATGATCATAAAGTTTGCGGAGGGCTACCGATCCTTCTGTAAAACAGCCCAGTGGGTACTGTGCTAGGAGCTTTGACCTTTGAAACGATAATAGATCCGGGCTTTTATGTTCAACTGCGGGTGTGCTTGTTCCACCACATCAATGTAGCGGCAGGCGTTATTGCTCGCCATTTCAGCACGTAAAAACTACTAAATCCGTGAGCCACTGCAGAGATATTTGCCTTGAGCATACGCTTGATTCACGACAGCGGATGTCGTTGAGCGACAAGCGTCGCATTCATCGGCTCGATACACAGGCCTTGACCGGCATCAGCAAATTGGACATCTTAAGTCTATACCTTCACTACTTCGTCGCATTCATCGGCTCGATACACAGGCCTTGACGCGGCATCAGCAAATAGGACATGTTAAGTGTCCATACCTTCACTATCGCATGCAATAATGGGGGGGCCGTTGCAAGGTGTCTAGCAGCTAACATTGCCTTCAGCAGGCACACCAACGTCTGTCACGACGGACACACGATAAGGATCATTAATGGAGAAAGCGATGCCCTTGCTGACTCATCTGTCCTCACGCATTCCACCCTTAGCTGTAGGGGACCTTTGTTCACCACCGCACGAACGCCAGCAGCGTCGATCCTTATGTCCCTGCTGGTCTTGCGAAGTGAGCGATGGCACATCGTTCACTCTAATTAGTCATGCCATGACTAATTATGGTGCTAGCACATTTTTTTTAAGCTGTTAAAAACAATTCGTTCGTATTTCTAACCTAGCATTCTAGAATAAAGTAATCGCAGCAAAAATATCCCACATTTGTGACGTCACTAAAGCGCTAAAGCACGACTAATTTCGAAGCACGACGATTATGCGCGACAGTCAGTCCAATCGATGCCTACTCTTACATGTATACGTAGTTCGTCGTTTCGATCTTAGCGAGTCACTATCGTGAATGAACTTTTATCGCTGTGTTGTATGTGCCAAAGCTTGCCTAGGACTACCAGCTTTTTAACTTTTCTACTTGGTCCTATTTAGTGAGTCACTCAGAATACAAATTTCATGTTATTTCGACCTCATTTTGTAAGAGCAAAACGCGAATTTGGTCGGAAATTCACAATAGCTTGTTTGCGCGCTTCGCGTGTGCGCTGGTAGTAGCGCTTCTGCGCTGCATTAATAAACTTTTGGCATTGCTCAGGTGAGTATACCTCTATCTTTGTTAATTATTAATTTTATACCGTAGTATTTATCCGGATAGAAAAGCTAAAAAGCTGATAGTCTTAGGCAAGCATTGACACTACAACACAGCGATGAATATTCATTCACGATAGTGCCTCGTAAAGATCGAAACGACGAACTACGTATACATGTAAGAGTACATAGGCATCGACTGGACTAACTGTCGCGCATAATCCGCCCGCTTCGCCATGAGAAACTCTGGTTCCACCACATCTGCCATCAACTCGTATCGTTCCATCATCTCCTCTGCACGAGCATCACCCGGCTGGGGCAAGAAGTCATCAACCTTGATTGTCTTGACAGATCCAGGCATGAATGACGGAGGAGGTGGGGCAGACTCCGTTCGTCTCAGTACTGCTGCCTCGATAAATCTGAACGCGTTCTTTGGATACTTCAACGTAAGTTGGGTCAAAACGTGCTTGTCGCTGAACCAAGAGAAATGCCAGTGGTCGTTTAAATCCGTCAACAAACTCAGCGGATAGCAATTGAGAGGCGCCTTCATGCTGCAGCTCACAAGTTGACCAATTGCTTGAGGAACATGGCCCGGTTCGACTTTCTTCTTGAGCTCGATCACCAAGCTGACCCCAGCCAGCTTAATCAATGGGTTCTTCGCTGTTCGATTGATGAGCAATACATCAACTGTGCCTTTCATAGCAAAC